ATTGCTATGAACCAATTTTGTAACCTTCAGAATTCAATTTGTCTCAGAGTATCAAACTAGCCAGGTGAGAAAGTTTGGAACCCAGCATTTCTGATTTTACACTTTACTGCACAACTGCCTTAGAGGTCTAAAATCCTAACTACATGAAGTTTCTGCCTTTCATCTTATGTCCTTGTGTCTTCAATCTGTGGTCAATTTTTTATCAGTGAAGGTGATATATAACTTAAGGAACTGACCAGGATTCTGATTCTTTGAGCAAATATGCTCACAAGAAATTTCAGGACGATAATTTTAAGCTGGGAAAAAATGCAGCACAAATAGATGAAGACAGGCTTTACAGCTATCAAGTCAGTGGATGTTGTTTTTTAATTTGGTTTGTTTTGCTTTTTTCAAGCCTATAAATTGTTGGACTTACTTTGCAAATGATTAAGAAATGTGCAGGTAAATGTTTAGCTTTGTCTTATTTGGGAAAAATGCCATAAACAGAAAAGAAAAATACAGAAATTGCTGATTCAGGTTGTGGAAATGATGCCAGTGACTATGCACTTTCATAAGAAAATCTCATGCTGACATTAAGATCACTGTAGCCTGTGGAAATAAAAGGGGTATGTGTATTTTTAGCACTTGTGCTTTGCTTTTGTTTTTAGTTTTCATTTGAGTGAGGTGGTATTGATGGCACAATGGTTCATCTATTTAAACTGACAGGCTAGCGTATCTCACTTTTCCTTGCTTTTAGATTGTACTGAAAGATATTACTCTACAGTTCGCATACTAAAATTCAATTTGCACTTAAACTTTGCATTGAACTACAGATCTTTTGGGGTACAGAATAACTCTACCCTTGTTTTATAATCTCATTCTAATGTTTGTTTTCTTCCAGACCAGATTATCTTTAAATATAAATATGTAGTTTAAAATGGACATTCAATTATGCTTCTTCATTAATTTCCTCTGTGGGCTCTTGAGAGAAGTTACTTTAGACTGGCAATTGTACAATCACAGAGATTGTTACAAACTACATAGGCAGCTGCACATGATGCAGATGGTGTTGTAGATCCAGCTGTGTATCTGTATGATTGAACATATTTTGGATACCTTTTTTTTAAATGATGGTGGGTGAAGATTAATTCACATTCCTCATGTTGGTTCTGCAGATATAAAACCTTTCAAACATACACTTTTGTAATAACAACATGGATTGCTTTACCTGGTTCAGTTACCCTCATGAGACAATCTTGATTTTTCCTTTAAATTGTTCATTAGGTTTTAACAAACTAAATGCATTTGGCATACTAAGGTTTTATTTGGACAACAGGTGCTAAGGACAGAATAGACAAAACCCTTGTTCTCCCATGCTTTTTTCCTAAAAAAAGAAAGACTAGCACTCAGACATATGACTGTGAATACCTGTGAGGAGCCAATGGTCGTCCATGAGAGAATGTTTGCAGAAGCTTTTCTAAACTTGAATGAGCCAGATAGCTTTGCATAATTGCAGGAGTGGACTTCAATATAACGTACGTCTTCTTTTGTGGGGATAGCAATGCCTCTTGTCATAAAAAAAAGTTGACACATGAGATTTCACAGGTCCCCACTGCAGGTACTGAAGGGACAGACACTGCCATTAGTACAGACCTCTGACAGTTAAAAGACATGGATCAAAGAAAATGTAATGCAAACTTTAAAATAAAGCGGAGAAGAATGCAAAACTACTTTAAAAAGGTCTTAGCTTAAATACTTCTTCCGAAGTTACTACCTGATACTTCTAGTCTTCTAAAACCATTATTTCAGGATGCCTCTGCAGGCCTGTTTCATTGTCCCCTCACCTGGGAAGCTGCTGGCCTGTGTGGATGATAGCAAAATACCAGTTAGAACTGACTTAAAGAAAAGAGTGAAAGCAGGATAAGATGTACCTTCCTGAATACGTTGGTAAAATTGCCTCTTGGCAGATGTCCTATAAACATAAATATCTTGACCACTAGAAATTTGTTTTTAGCACAAAAAGAAATGTGATGTCAACCTTACTTTTATCTTCTAGATAAGATATGTGATCAAATAAGTGATGCTGTTCTAGATGCTCATCTTAGTATTGACCCAGATGCCAAGGTGGCCTGTGGTAAGTACAATACAGACAGAAAAACAGATTAATGAAGTACAACAATTAATCAGTGTTGATATAATATCCTTCAATCCAAAATTCCTCCAATAGCTGACTGCCAACCAAGACTTCTACAGTAAGTCAAGAGGCCAACTCTGCACACTGATTCAGAGGAGAAGGCAGGAAAGAGCTGCAAAAAATAGCAGAAGAAAGGAAATACATCCAGTATTTCAATCCAGTGCAAATTAAAAATGGTTAAATGAAAGAAGTAGAGCAGGAGAAGCCAGTGGTGTCAGGGAAAACTGTGATTTTCAGGATGGATGATAATGAGGAATCTAAGAAAATCAGGGGAAAAGAGAACCAAAGAAATATATATGTCAAGGTGTATTTATTCGTAGAGTAACAGGTGTTAATAGAACTCAAAATCCGGACGTGTTAAGTTTATATTTATTGTGTCTTTACCTAAGCAGGGTAACTCCCTTGGTTCACAGGAAGATAAGTTCATTTGAAAGTGATGCTGATCAAAGTGACTTGCTTTTTTTTCATGGGACTTCCATTGCAACTATGCTGTATTCTACATGGATGTAGTTACCAGCAATATCACCAACAGAGGCTGTTAATGTATCATCTAATTGGAATGAGATGGGTTGCCACAGAGGGATGGACACAGAAAGGGAATGTTTCTAAAGAGCTTTCTAAATGCAGTATTTTATTCTGAATGCAGTATTTGATTCTCTTCCATCAAGGCCATAGTTTCAGCACAGAGGACTTGCTGCTTCCCACAAACACAGTGATCTGACACTTCATCTGAAAAATCACATGTGCTCCTTGATATATAGATGTGAGCAGTGAGATGTATGTGTTTGTGGAGGTTTAGCTTATGTATTAGACTTGATGAAGCGTGTATTTCAATATTGCAGGCAGTTATGCTTCCAAAACTGCTGAAAAGTTGAAGATGGAAACAGAGCAATGCTGCAAAAATGTCAAGGAAAAATGTGTGATAAAAGATGTGAGAAACATCATCATTTCATCTTAACTAGAGGCATGACATGATTACAGAGATAAATCCCAGATTTCCTAATCTGTTGGGGGAAGAAAAATCAAAGCTTCTGTCTGTACTTTGAAAGCCTGAGTATAACATTAAAGCATAAGTCTGGAAAAGATACATTGGTTGACCAGACACAGTTTGCTAAAGTAGTGGACTGGAGAACAGAAAGCAGTCATGGTACTCAGTAGCAGGTGAGAATTAGAATTTCTGTTTAATTGTGCAGGCCTTGTCTCAAAATGTCAAAGAAAGAAACATCTCAAAGCATTATGCAATGCTTTGTAATGTAAGTACTAAGTCACTGTAACACCATATTTTACAAAACAACAAAATGTAGTGTGCAGAGATGTTGAAACTAAAATCTATCTGCCAGTATAAAAATGTATCTGTCATCCCCTCAGTTTTATTTGCTGCTTGGACCTTTAGTATCAGCAAGTTTTGCATAGGATATTCTGAGTTATTCCACTGGAACTGCCTCATTTAGGCAGGACAGAGTTGGTCTCTGTTTGTGCTGCAAACTAACTGGGTAGCAGTGAAGTCAGACAAGAAAAAAATGGTTGCAAGTAGCATAAAGAATAAGGCAGAATAATTATTCTGCTTCTTATCTGATTAAGTGAAGCCAAATGCTTTCTTAAAGAAAATGGTCCTTCCCAGTGTGCCTAACAAATTAGAGTCCAGAGCAAAAATTAACTAACCATAATAAAAGACCTTCAAGAGAGAAGGTGGAAACTTATACCTACTAATGGCACTCAAAATATTCTTTGGGGGAGACTTAAACATGTAAGCAATCACTTCCCAGTAAAGAGCCCAAACTCTATATGGTAACTTTCTCTTAGGTAGAGCAGATGGGATGCTGCATAGGCTCACTAATAAATTGCAGGTATAGTGTATCACCTGAGCTGTGTTTTCTTTTCTCTGAATTAAATTTCAGTCAGGATGGAGGGCAGGCAAAGGTAGGAAGATGAAAATTTCTTTTCCTGATACTTAAAAGGCATCATCGTGCCATGAAGTATTGCATCACCATAAAGCTTCGCTTGGCTCTAATGGATCTGGTAGAGCTTCTAGGGACTGTTGGTGGTGACTGGAGCCTATTCTTTCATCTCTCTCAGCCCCAGCTTCCCGATTTGGTGTTCTTCCAGAGAGGCTTCACCATCTGGTAATGACCACACTGGAAAAGCTTAGAGCTATTCTTTTCCTCGCAACTGTAATAATAGTGTCTCTTCCCCCAGCACATGATTCAGAGCACCACACATGCTTCACACACATAGGTGGTTCTGCTAGAGCATAGGAGATAGGACCAGCACTGCTGGTCAGTGGAGCAGGGGCACAAGACTCACTATGAAAATAATGGTACCAGAATACCCTGCACTGTAGTAGTATCACTACTTGTGGCTGAAATGCATTTAGGGCTACGGTATTATTATGGACTCTCAATGTGTCCACAGTGTAATTCAGAGGTGCCATGCCAGCTAGGATGAATATTAATGGTTCAATACACACTAATTCCTCTTTCAAACAAACAGAGCAAACTTGCCTTGCTCTAAGGTCTGAATTGCTTGTCTAGATTGTCTAAGCTAAGCTGCCAATTAAAGCTAGCTTGAATGTCTTTATGGGAAGCTGCAGTCCGTAATTGTGCAATCTTATCGCATATTACTGCCTCTAATACTCAACCTTGAAATAGAATAAAAATATTCAAATGAGACTGTGACTGGATGGTAAAAGTGATGGAAGAAATTCAGCATAGGTTAAGGCAAGATGGAAGAGAGCAATCTTATCCCCATAGATAGAAAGTAAGGTCTGCAATTCACTGCAAGCATTTCTCTCAGGAGAAAGATCTTAGGGTTGTAACAGACATATGTTTCTGTGAAAAGAGTTGCTGCTCAGCAGCAGTAAAAACCCAAGCTGACTGCTAGGGTTTGCTGGGAAAGGAATGAAGAGTGAAATTGAGAACATCATTAAGTCATATAAATCCCTGGCTGCCTGTCTTGGGTACTGTATGCAATCTGTTTTTCTTTCCCCATCCCAAAACAAAGGCTACATTAAGATTGTTTGGCAAGAGTGACATGGGTGTATGATCAAAGCCATACAGTGTCTATAAGTGAAAAGCCTAGGCTTTTTTTTTTCTATGGTCTGGAAAAATGATGATTGAATGGGAAATGAAATAGAGCTATACAGTTGTAGATCATATTGTTCTACCAAATTTTTTCTGATTGTTTGCTATATGTTTTTATATAAACCAGAATAGTTTGGAGACCACATGGACTCCTGAAATAAAAACTGAAATAAAATATTAAATGATTCTGCACAAAATTTGTATGAAATTGCATAGCTTCTTGCTCCAGGATCCTGTAGAAGCTAAAAGTTTTTGTGGTTGCCAAGGGCAACTGGGTGAATTACTGCAGCAAAAATGTACAAAGATTGGTAATGCCATCTGTTAATAAATGATGTACCTTTAGCTTCAGGAAGATTCTGAGCTTCAACTGTTGCAGGCCAGGGAAGTATTTGGAGAAACAACCCTATATACCTGATCTGTTTAAACAGATGTTTGCTGTTGGCCACTGTGGGGGGAGGATAATTGGGTAAGAAGGACCATGCTGGCATTTAGATGTTCATATTAGCTGAAGAGAAGAGTGGTTGCACACAGACCTATATATATGCTAAGTCTTTACACTTAGTTTCTCCTATGACTGATCCTTTGTTCATAGATCTTCAGGATGTCCCTGTGTAACTGTAAAATAGCAGTAGTAAAATTCTGATATTTCACCTTTTCTCCAGAGTGTGTAGCAAAAACTGGAATGATTTTGCTCTGTGGAGAGATCACATCCCAGGCTATAGTAGATTACCAACAAGTTGTAAGAGAGACTCTTAAAAGGATAGGATATGATGACTCTTGCAAAGGTGAGTGAGATTCTACATGTCTTGAATCTTGGGTCTGCTCTGTGTGTGGACAAAATCATGTTTCTATGATCTTCTGAAAAATAAAATGAAATGTGTATCCAGGTTTGGGAGAAAACTCGCACATATTGTTGATATATATTTTTCAGTCCCCTTTAGTCTTCCCTTTTTATTCATGATATATACATTTTTCCCCTTTAATTCTATTGAACCCTAGAACCTACTACAAGAAAAACTGAATACCAGTTTCAGATAATGTTTTCCACACTCCTCTCCCAGCTAAAATACCCAAATGGTTTGAATCCTCACCATAATAAGCAGTGTAACAAGTTCGGTGCAGCAGCTTGTAAGATTACACGTACCCTGTCAGTTTCAAGTATTCAAATTTGACCTAATGACACTTACCTGCTCACATCCTGAAACTGTTATATAAATGTGCTAATTGTCTGCTTCTGTTAGCAATAAAAATTGTAGTATAGGAATTTTAAATTTTTGAGTTTTAACAGTTTTAGCCAAGATTACTAAATAATCCTTAAAAGCTTCTCTAGCAATTTGTGAACCCTCACAAATATGTGTGACCTAACTTTACAAAACTCCCTTCTCTAGGACTGGACTATAAGACTTGCACAGTTTTAGTGGCCTTAGAACAACAGTGCAAGGAGATCAAGCATGCTGTCTCCCATGGCAAGACAGATGATGACATTGGAGCAGGGGATCAGGTAATTCCAGGCACTTATTCAACCGTAGCTTATGCGTGAGCAGTTACAATTACATTGGACCGGAACTGTTCCTTAAAATCTATTGTGCAAATGCTAAGAAATAGCAGCTGAATGCTGTGCATTCTCTTAATCACCAGTAGTGTGATAAAAGCATCACAGCCTTCATTAGTTTCTATGAAAGCAGCTTTCCCCGTATTGAGTGGCCTTAACAGGATAGAGCTACAACTAAGGTTTCTATCAGTTGGTTAGTTTCTGGTCTTTCAAGTCCTTTGTTTAGCCTTTTACGTTTTTCTTCTTAGGTAAGAATTGCTGTGTCATTTTAGTTGCCAAGTGTGGGGGAAAAGCTGAACAATCTTGATAAGCTTCATATTTATGAAGCCTCTGCATTGGGTTCCTATGGATGTTTAAGGCAGAGCAAGTCTTGGGACCCAGGCCCTGCTGTGACTCTAATTCTTGCACATAAATGTTATTCCGGGCTGGTTACGTGTCAGAGGGTATTAACTCTCCATGTTACTGCTGTCTTGTGCTAAGCTTGAGTGGTTTTAAAGGACTATGTGGCAAACAGAGGTACAGAAATGGAAAGAGAACATGGAAACGAATGTCTGATTTCCCCATTTTTCAATGCAGGGTTTGATGTTTGGCTATGCCACTGATGAAACTGAGGAATGTATGCCCTTAACACTCCTCCTGGCACACAAACTGACTGCTAGCATAAGGGCTCTGGAACGGAATGGAACATGGCCCTGGGTTAGACCAGATGGGAAAACACAGGTTTGTAGCATAGATGCATAAATTGTAGGGGTAAGAAATGATAGAAATAATTTACCCTGTCTGCTACTATATCAGAATTCATGTTTGTCAGAAATGGTGCTGTCATACTCATGTTCCAAGGTGGTACATTTGTATGTAGTGCACATAGTTTGTTTAAACTATTCTATCAGTGTCTTAGGAGGTCTCTTCAAAACAATACTTGTATTTTCCTTCTATTCCCCTGGAGATTAAGAAGATTAACAAATTACCAAAAATCATCTGGTGGGGTTATCTTTTCCATGAACAAATATCAGCATTCTAATAGCATGGACTGAGACAGTGCTGTGGATTCCTAGTTAAAGCCAAGATGTTCTTGATTCAGACCTCATGATCTGAACCTCAGACCTCATATATTTGATCAGGGGTCAGAGTCACTCACAGCTATGTTGCAGACCTGAGTGGATAAGTTGCTGAGCCTACTGTAAGAGTGATGTACTTTGGTAATCTCAAAGGCAGTAGGTTCTCTGTCTTCTGGGTTGTGAAATCTGCAGGAAAGGAAAGGAAAGCCATACATGTGGCATGTCTGAGACAGCAAGGAGTTCTAGTCTTCATTTCTGTTACATAGTGTGGATGAACTGCTATTGCAGTACACCATGGATTGTATCCCTACCTTCCTTCAGGAGTTCATAGAACATGTGAATAGTCTGATTTCATTATGATACATGGCTTCAAGCATGTTTGAAGGGTGGGAAAGAAAGAGATCCCTTTAATCCATAAGTAAACAGATACTAAGGATGGAGCAATGACAGTATATATTTGCATGTACATAAAAGCTGTGTGGTAGGGAGCAAGGATACAGCCCATCATATCATGATCTATGGTTGTTCATTTTAGCAGGGTCCTACAAAATTTATTTTGGCTTTACTTTGGTAATACACTATTTGAAGTTATGTTAACAAGCCAAACCATATTGATTTTAGCATCAGTTGCCAAGATCATAGGATTCTGTTGTTATTTTGCTTCCCTGTGGCAATACACGTAATATAATTTGGCTACATCTTTTGGTAGCACTACTTCAGTATTTTCTGGGGTTTTTTTCTTAAAACAGTGAGTTTAAACATTGACAACAATCCATCATCTCTCATTGCACTTCCCTTCATGTTTGTTTTTCACTGCAGAAAATAGCTGTAAAGTTCATTTCCAGCCTTCAGACTGGTGCTCTTGACCTTGAGTGTTCACTGTTCTTTTTTTTTCCTTACTAGGTCACTATGGAATATAAGGAGTGTAATGGTGCACTGGAGCCCATCCGAGTGCACACAGTTGTGATTTCAGTACATCATGCTCCAGACATCCCACTACAAAAAATACAGAAGGAGCTAATGGAGAAAGTTGTTAAAAAAGTCATTCCAGGAAAGTATCTTGATGAGCGCACCATTTATCACCTACTTCCAAGTGAAAAGTTTATAGAAGGTGGTCCTAAGGTATGCTGCTTTGAAAAACAACATCCTACACACACTTGAATTCCACTTTGCCACATGCTTTTACATTTTTTCTTGAACAAAAGTGCAATGAATTGGTATGCCTTTAACGAAGGAAGCCTTTAAGGAAGCTTCAGTAATTTCTACTGGAGTTTTCCTGCTGGACAGCTGGCATCTAAGCTGAAGCTGTACCTGCACAGACAGCCAAATGTAGAGATTCTTGGACTTTTGTCTTGCTTCTGGGAAGTATTTTAAATGAACAAAAGCTAGTCCTTAAGTTACATGATAAAATGGCTGGCTGGAAGTATCTCTTCACTTTCACAATAAAAATTCAAACTGGAAATAACAATAGATATGATCTCTACATCGACATTTTTCATAAAACTGAACAAATTTCAAGACAGACTTAATGTCTTGAAAGTCTCAATAGTCATTAGAATTTGACGTACGTTTGGCTTTCCAGGTGCTGGTACTAAATAAGCAGGACATGACTGTGAAATCGTAAAACTTTATGTTACACAAAAGCATATAGTTTTGTACAAAGAGTTCATAAGAATTAAAACTGCAAGATGTGCTTATGATCACATGGGATTGTGTGACTTTGACACCGTCTCCCATAGCACA